CATCACTAGGGAAAAGATGGGTTAGAAAGCTTCCGTGTGTCGAGATGTTCATTTAGGACAAGGAGCCCAACCTTAATTTACTTTCTGCAATAGAATTAGTAAGAGGCAAAACAAAACAAAAAAAATGCTTTTAGCTTAGAGCCTGGTCTCCATATCAGGTCTAATAAAAGAGGATCCCTGCGGAGGTCACTAGTCACTGTCATCTTCACCTAATATTACAGCCCTAATGAAATTCTTTCAATGCCTTGAAGGTAGCTTGTATTCTCTTACTTCTTGACCTTCAGGAGACCTTCCCTTTACCAAAAACACTTTTCTCATTTCTGTCTGTTCCAACTCCATCTTTCAAGGGCCTCCCTGGTGGCTCAAGGGGTTAAGCTCAGAACTGTGAAGCTAACCAACTCCATCTTTCAGGTCTCAAATTTGGCACTACTTTCTCCCAGAAGCCCTTTTGAGTCCAGAAAATTAGGGGTGATGTGTAGGCTCCTTAGTCTTCTGGTTCTGTAACACTTATCACATATTAACATAATTGCTTATTTTAATTGCCACTTTCCCCTCAAATGTGTAACTTGCCTCCCTTACTGCTGTAGGCCTAATGTAAGATGCAGGGCCTGGCACCCAGAAGTTACTCCATAAATATTTGAAGGATGAATGACCATCATTTTAAAGAGGCAGAATGGCTCCCAGGCAGGGCTAATTTCACCATAATATAATTAAATGTATTGACATGTCTAAATAAAGAATATATCAATCATTAAAAGACTAATCAGTGAGGAAGCATAGAATAAAGTGAGTAATCGAGGAAAATGCTAGAATGCATATCCAAGCATATCCAGGGATAAAGGAGTATTAGCTAATGGACTTCAAAAACTGTGGTCCCATTAGGAATAAATTCCCTTTCCATGAAAAGATAAATCCAGCTCTTTCAGCCGGATGCCATTAACTTCCTATTTTCAAATCCCACACTCATGTAGCAATTTTTTAATTATTATTTGGTTTTCCAGGTACTTCTGTCCACAGGGAGAATGATATGTGGATTATGAGTATTTCTGGGTCTCTGTAACAGTGATTTCTCATTGTGAATTATGAATTGCAAACTTTGGATTATGGTGTGCACTGATGATGAACAGAATTGGAAGGGTTCCCATCCACTCTTTGCTCTGTGGACATTTCAAATATGCATACTTCACTTCTCAGGTTCAGTTGTCAGTGGTTGCAGGGTCAAGTGCTGGGAACCCACAAAATAGTGCGGAAGGAATTAGAATCTGGGGTAGAGGTCAAGCCCGATAATTGTTAATTTATATCAGCCGGTTTCCTGGTTAGCTCAGGATTCGTTGTCAAAGATCCAGGCACACAAGTGGAAAGTTTGGGTAACATTTTGTTCTTTGGCACAAGGAGAGAGTTATCTTGAAATTTGTTCATTAACCTGAGTATTTTCTAAGTCACACTGATCAACAGAACACAAAAATGAAAGTTTTTAAAAAACACTTCTTTTTTAAAAAGTGAACAGATGAAGGTCACTAGAAATACAGGCTCTTCAAACAGATGCCAACCAGCAAGGTTTTAGGTTCATTAAAAATCACAGAAGTAGAAGTTTATATCGAGAGAAAATAGATGGTTTTTCCTTATTGGTGGATAAAAAAGCAGAAAATCTCAAGAACCCTATTCTCATAATTGCTATGTACCATAAAAGATGATTTGACAAGTAAATTACAGTTTATTAGGTTTCCATATATTTGAGCGAAAGGCTGATGGTTGAAATTTCAATTTTTGTAAAATGAATGAGATTTAGTAAAAGATCTAATGTAAGTAATCCAAGTAAAAAATGTACAGTGGATGCAGGAACCCTGTAGAAATATATGTATTAAACCTCGCGTACACTCCTCAGCAGCATATAAAAATGTCAGCAATTAATGCTCTGTTTCTTCCAGGAAGATACAACTCCTCATTTAGATCTTTGTCCTTTAAAACCAAAAGGACATGAGATAATTGGAAACAGTCTTGGAATCCTACTACTTATGAATTTTTTTGAGGGGTGTTGGTCTATGGCTTGTTTCTGTTCTTGTATTAGAGAACGGGGTCTAGTCAAATTAATGTAAAATACAAACATATTTCACATTAGATTATACCATTCAGTTCTCCACTGACTTGAGCAAAACATCAGTTTCCTTTAATTAAAGTATGCAGGCAGAATGCTAATGAAAATTTTGCTAAGGTTATAACACCTTTTGAAATTAACCTAATCATACACTGGTGAGAACAGAGGGACGGGAGGAAGAAAAAAAGAAAGAAGAAAAGGAGAAGTTTTTAACAACTAATCAAAGAGGAAAGTTGACACACATGTGTGGGTGTCTTTATGTACATGTACATGCACACATACATATGCATACACATATACATAGAAAAGTTTATAAAATAATTTTCATCAATTTCTTGACATTTGGCATCCTGAAAATTATAGCTTAGAATTTCAAGAAGAGAAGACAATGAAATGAAGATGTTTTTACTTGTTAATAAAAACAGGTAACAATTATGTTACAGAGCTCTGAGAAAGCAAGCAAAATATATTAGTTTTTAATCAATCTGAGAGTAATGAGGTGGAAGCTCACTTTTTTGAATGTAAGTAGAGAATATAAGATTGCACCTTTTTTGTTCTTTTTCCATCTTTTGTAATTTTTTTTTTACCTCCTGATTCTCAACCTTCATTAATTTTTTACAGGAGATGTGAGGTCACTGCTCTTTTCCTTGTTATGCTTTATAGAACCATTCTTTGCCAAATACATCTGTACCCACCTGCTGCTCTGTCAGCCTGAGTAGGGAATGAGTGGGACCCATGACAGACTCATGGGCTGTTAGCGATAGAAAGAACCATTTGTTCAACTTTTATTTTGAAGACATAAGGTCCGGAGATCAGAGTAGAGAAATTATTATTCAACTGCTTAATGGCTGAGATAGGGTGGAAAGTCAGGGTCTCTAACTTCTAGTTCAACGTGTTTCCCAGCACAGGTGCTCCTTCCATTTCTCATGGAGTATCATGGAAATAACCCTGAGGCAAATCCAGACGACCTCATCTTTAAATGAAGACACATCTCCACCCCACAAAGTCTTCTTGGAAGACCAACTGGATTGCTTAGTTCTGGGTCTAGGTAGGGGGCCTGGACTAATCTTTGTTCATTTGGGAACAGATTGGAAGTGCTGGGGAATCCCTTGAATGCCACTGTTTTCTAGAAGTGATTCAGGACCACCCACCTAAGATCACCTTCACCTAAACTGGAATCCCACAGCTCACCCTGCTGGGGCCAATGAACAGGCTTTCAAGGAGCAGTACATATTCTTGGTCTCCCTGAAGTGACTCTTCAAAGGGGCTAAACATATCCCACTGAAGAGAACAGGAAGGGACACTGTCTATCACGTAACTCCAAAAAGTAACTGACAAGAAATAGCAACTGATTTCTGTCATGCACTGAACTGTGCCCCTTACCATTATGCGTTGATGCCCTAACGCCCATGACTTCAGAATGGAAGTATATTTGGAGATAGAATCTTTACAGATGTGATTAAGTTAAATGAGGGCTCTTGCATGAGCACTAACCCAAAATGACTGCTGTCCCTATAAGAAGAGGAAATTTGGAAAGATACAAAGGGAAGATCAAGTGAAGACATGAGGAGAAGACAATGAAAGAGGTTTCACATGAAACCAATTCTGCTGACACCTTGGTCTTGAACTTCCAGTTTCCAGGACCATAAGAGTAAATTTCTGTCAGTTAAGCTGCCTAATCTCTAGTACTTTGTTATGGTAGCCCTAGAAAACTAATACATCTTTCCCTCCTGCTTTATTAGTCACTTCCTTTATTGTAAAAGTAACATTTTCCAATGGAGGGACTAGAAACTCCATGAGAACAGCAACTTGTCTGCTCTCTGCACCACCTTATTCACGGCACCTGCAGTAGTTCCACTGTAACAGATGTGTTCGGAGTATTTATTGAGTGACTACAGGCAAATATAAAATTACAAATAAATACAAATAACAGGTAGTCCCACAGACAGATGATAACTATTATTTTCATTCAGTATCACCTACAAGTGGACAAAAATTTTTAACTATTCCTTTAAATTTTTTCCTTTTTTGTCATTTAAGAAATACCATGAATGATATCTTTGAATACATCATTGTGTCCCACTTCCTTAGGAAAAAATTCTAGATGGAATGATTAAATCAAATGTATATACATCATTAAGGTTTTAACATATTGTAAGGGCAGGAATGGCCACTGAGCAGGTTTTCTGATCCCATGCAGACCGGGTGGAGAAGTCAGAGTCCTCAGTGGTTTTTTGCAGGTCTTTTATTGGGGTTCACCAGGCATATGGCAGGCAGGGGTGCTGGGGGGCCGGGAGGCTGGCAGTCCTCCCAGCCCCCAGCAAATCTTCACTCTATCTGGGCTCTCTGGTGTTCTCTGCTTCTGCTTCTCCTTCTGCTGCTGCTGCTGCTGCTGCTTCTCCGCTTCTCTCTTGGCTTCTCTTTCGGCTTCTGCTGCTGCTGGCATCCCTGTGACGCTGCCCTTAAAAGCACAGTCTTAGCTCAGCTGAATCCCATCTACCTATGCCCACACCCTACTCCAGGTGCCCACCATCAGCGCATGCATTCAGGACAAGGATCCATCATCTATCCTGATGGCGGGAGGGCAGAAAAGCCTGACATTTTCTTTACCCTACACATATATGTCTTTTTTTTTCTTAAAGATGTTGCTACTTTATACTCCTCCATCAGCATATTAGGATTCCAGTTTCCAATTATAATTATTTATTACAAATTTACTTGATCTTTTACCACATGTCAGATGATATATGAAATACTTCATAAGCATTATTTCATTTAATTAGCTCAAAAATCCTGTAAGATGGTTACTGATATTATCTGCATTTAACAGATGAAGAAAATAGTATTTCTATTATTTTTAATCTTTATTTATTTTTTTTACTTATTTATTTACTTATTTTTAACTAGTATGAACACATCAGGTTTCAGAAGGGACAGGATGGACCCTCCAAAGATAGGAAAAACTTCTTTCAGTAACTCCTCTCCCTGCACTGGCAATGATCAGTACATATATAACCCCTGGTTACTTTCAGATGCAGGAGAGAAGAAAATAGTATTAAAGAAAATAAATGACAGGCTGAAGTTCCCTTCACCAGTAAGAGGAAGCGCTAAACATCAACCTCTCTGACTCTAGTAACAGGACCCAGTACCTGTTACCAGTATCAGCTGCCATTCCCAACAACCAGGTGACCGATAAAGAGACACTTTATGGGAGACACTTGTGCCAGCCCCTCCTGAGGCCTTGGGGGAATTGTGTCATGCTGGGAGCTTTAGATAGCATCCCAGTGCCTTCACCAATACTGGGCATTATTCTTTTGTAGGTCTTTGTCAACTTGACAGGCAAAAATTCTTTAATATGCTTGTTTCTTTGCTTCTTAATTAGTTTGATTCCATTTTTCTGTATTTATTTGCCATTATGTTGTATTTATTTTTCAGAGTGAATAGTTTATTCTTTGTCCACTCTGCTAAGGGTGTGGAACATCACATCTGCTAAATATGGAAGCTCCCAGGGACTCAAGATCCTCACGCAGACTCCCAGAAAACAAGACTTGGCACAAGGGTTTGCAAAGATCCAGAACAGACACGTCTGATTACTCACTGCAGTCAACTTTTCAAGATAGTCGCTTCATCCTGTAAGGAATATGCATTTGGAGGTAACCCACTCATTGCTAATTTTATGAAGACTCTGTTGATAACATTATAAACTATTTTGATTAAGTAATTTCCTAATTTTAAATTACATCCAACTTTATTGCTATTAACCAATCTTGACACCTTGCCCTCAAATTGTAAAAAGAAAAGAAAAGGCTACTTTACCTTTGCCTAATCACTAAATTTAAAGACTTTCAGCAGCTCAGCCCTGCTAACACAGGGAGCAGGCAGAGAGGACTGTTTTTGTTCTGTGAATCAGCCATCAGTCGTGCAGAAACATTTACTTTGGAGATAGGTTCAATGTGTGGGATAGATAATTATATGTCGAGGATCTTAATTTAGGATAAGAGAAGCACTAATCTGTGGCAGACATACAGTGCTCTGGTGAGGCTCTATGTGGCTGGGTCCAAGTGCTCCATGGCTGGGCCGATGTCGAGATCCAATTGATTAATGTAGATCACGTCGGCAAAAAAGACTAAATTAAACTGCAGCTTTAGTCTGGAGAGTAATTAAGAGCCTCATCCTCATTCAATATTTCAAGTTCCACATTTGGAATTAGAATAAAAGGAAAACCCTTTAGCTGCCCCTCCCTGCCCCCATCCCCAATCCATAGCTACTTTATTTTTTCATTTGTTTTTGCTAATTTAAAGAGAAAGGGAAAACTCTCCCTGACACCCAGTTGTTTGGGCCCGAATTCAGAGGAAGAGTGCATTAAGACACGTTGATCCTTTATGAATTAAGAGTCCTCTTCAGATTGTTGACCTCCAGCCTTACTCAGCTTATCAGCAGTCACAGTCAGCAGTGTCTGTGGGAAAACCAAGCCAAAAGGAGTTAAACTGTTTAGACAGCAGCATTAGTGCTGACGCTGACAAGTGCCCCAGCTGCAGCTATTTCCCCTGCTTATGAGCTGCCTCCACAATAGCCAGGTGACCAATAAAGCCCATGCATGGGAGATCCTGTGCCAGTCCCTCCTGGGTCTCTGGAGGAACTGTGCATGCTGGGAGCTTTAGTTAAGATCATTTTGTAACTAATTAAATCATATAAAACTTGAAATTGATGTTACTTTCATCAGATTTCAAGGAAGTATTAATATGAAGCTGTGAACAAAAAGAGTATATAGTGTCTTTGAAACAGCTTTATAAGAACAACAACAAAAAAAGCCAATTAGAATGACCTTAAAGTAGTTGTAGAAAGCAGTTCATACTCATCGTTAGTGACTCCAAGAGAGAACTTAAAGAACGTGCTAACTGAATGCACACCATTAATAGTATAATGATTATTTTCATCCCATGGATCTTACTAGTAGGACAAGGAAGGAATCATCACTACCACAGCCTTCTGGGTCTGGGTGCTGTGGTGTTTCTGCTTTTCTCAGCAAGGGTTCAGAGAGCCATATAGGTGCCCATGTGCTCAGTGATGGATCAGTTAAAGCCCTGCTCAGCTCCAGCTCTGCTGCTGACTTGGATAAATCCAGATAACCACTTCTTCCCCCTAAGGGGATAAAAGAGACCTGCTCAGGCACTAGATGAATGTTATAGTCCACAAATATAATGTTTTATTAGGTTCCATGAACACAGATGGATGGAGGCACCTATTACCTTCTTTTCCAGATACCAAATAAGGCATAATTGGGATCCTTAAAATAGATTAATCTAATAAATGGATTCAGAAGCCCAACTCATTCAAATGGCTTGCAAAGGAAAAGGTTACTGCATCCTACATTAATATCAATTTTATCCATCAAATACTTTGTCAGGAAACATTTTTTAAAACAATGAATTTGTGTTACCAGTCATCTTTCATAAGCAAAGCTATTTTAAAACAAAACAAAACATTCTTTCTCTCAGAAGATAGAACTACTATAGGTTTGGATAATTGTTCCATAATCACTTGAAAATTATAAATATATCTAAATTTAACTAGGATAATCTTTATCCGACATTATATCAAGTATGAGTACTGTGGCTGAATTATAATTACCAAGAAAAAATAATTATATGCAAAACATATAAAGCTAATCAAAATCATTAGCAAAACTCTCTAATCAATCTCTAAAATCCTATTTGGCCATCCAGAGGCCCAAGAGTATATAAAGTGGGAGGGATTGGAAGGGGAACTTAATTAAAAAAATACTTCTGAGAGTATCAGAGATTGATAAAGGATGACAATTTCTGAAACAATATTTGCAAAAGTGAAATTAGAGATAATGGTATCAGTTGCTAACATGCTAGTTTGTAAAATATGAACAAGGCTAGCCATTTCCTGATGGTTCTTAAAGATGCTTCTAGCAATGTTTATCTATTTATAGCTTCTGATTGCCACTACACCATCCAAGTGGCTGAGACAGGGAAATATAATCTAAAATAGTTTTGTACTATTTCCTTTCCTCAGAGGAAATAGGATTTAGTTTTCAAAATCAGAATCAGCTCCTCAGCTATTCTCTCCTATTGAACAGTCAACTTGAGATGCCCCCTCCCGCCACCCAGAGGGAGAAACATCAGCTGAAGATGCATCGACTTGCATTTTCAGAACTTTAAGTTAACCTCCCTTTATATTGTTTATTTTAACAGTGAAATATTCTTTAAAAAATCACAACATAATATAAACCAATATTCAAAAAGGAATCAGAAATAAGAAGCAAGACACATTAAAAAAAGAAAAAAGAAAAATACTGGGAGAAATACGAAAATTCATCATAGGTGAAGAAAAGCATCTGGGCAGTTGCCAGCTCCAGACAGTGAAGAGACTAATTGTAAACAAAATAATTAATCAGCAGGAAATTGATAAAAATGGAAAACTAAAAATTTCATCAAAGAAATTTAGTTATATCAATTCCTAGATATAAGGAAGATTTGTTTTTAAATATATGAATGTACTGCACTGGGGTGATGTCAGAGGAAGTCTGGTAGAAATTTATAAATTTCACTGTGTCCCACTGGCAGGATGACCAGTCCCAATACAATGTCAGTGGAATCCACAAGGGGAGCAAAAACTCCCATGCCTGCCCAGGCATCACAAGGAGTCACTCCACTCCTACTCAGAGGTCAACAAAGGTCAAACAAAGAGTCTGAGCTGCTGCCTCCACTTGGCAGTAGTATTACCCTGTACCTGACACTACACTGTAAGAAACTACCAATTAAAGCAGAAGATCTAAATGAGAGCCACAGTCTCCTAAAACAAGATGAAAGTATCCCATTTCAATAAAAAAAGCATCCATCATGTCAAGAATCAAAGACAGATCAAACTGATTGCAAAAAAGCAATCAATGGTTACCAATACCAAGGGAAAAATACTGGAATTATCTAGCAAATATGTTTTAAAAAGTCATGATAAAAATACTTCAAAGAGCAAATATGAATAAACAAGTGGAAAAAGCAGAAAACTTTAGTAAGAAAAATAAATTTCAGAAAAAAAATAGAAGATAACAGGTGATAACCAAAAGGAAATTTTAGAACAGGAAAAGGCAATAACAAATAAAAAGTTTGGTGGATGGGGTCAACAGCAGAATAGAGAGGACAGGAAACAATTAATAAACTGGAAGATACAACACTAAAAATCATCTAATCTGAACAACAGAGAAATAAAAGTGAGCAGAGACTCAGAAACCTGTAGGAATATAAGAAAATATATAATATTTATGTCATCTGAATCCCAGAAAAGAAAGATAGTAGGGCTTTAAAAAGTCTTTGAAGAGATAATGCCTGAAAACTTCCAAAACTTGGCAGGAGATAAATTTGAGAAGCTGAGTAATTTCCACACAGAATAAATTCAAAGAAATTTACCACAAAATACATCATAATTAAACTTCTCAAAGCTAAAAAGAAAACAAAATCTTCAAAACAACCAAAGAAAAATAACATTTACCAAAAGGGGAAAACTATTTAAATGATTGCAAATTTCTCATCAGACAATATAGAGGCCTGAAGGAAGTGGAACAAATTTTCTCAAGTGCTGGAAGAAAAGGATTGGTAATTCAGAATTCTATATTCAGTGAAAATATTCCTCGAAAATGAAGAAATCAAGACTTTTCACATTAAAGAAATAAAAATAATTTGTCACCAAGAAGATCTATACTAAAAGAATGGAGAGAAGAAATCCTCGAAACAGAAAAGAAATGGTAAAAGAAGGAACCCTAGAACATCAGTCGGGAAGAAAGAATACAGTAAGCGAAAATATAGATAAGTATGATACATTTCCCTTATCTGTTTGAGTTTCCCAAATAGTGTTTCATGGCTTCACCAAAAATTGTAACACCATATAATGTGGTTATAAATGTATACAGAGGAACATTTAAGACAATCATTGTCGATTATTTACAGATTCTATATTTTCAAATTTGCCTACCCATTAAATTTATTTGTAACTTTCAATATCATGTCACTTTCACAG